ATCGTAAAATTTTACTCTTGGTCAATAACTGCCCCCTCATCCAATTATTTCACTTAATAACATCAACCTTCAATTTTTTCCACCAAATGTGACATCAGTTCTGCAGCCAATGGACCAGGGTGTCATTTGGAGTCCTAAACAAAGGTATCGGAAACATATGTTGATGAAAATTATGAAGCTTCAAGAAGATGTCAAGATTACCAAAGCTGTCATCATTTTAGATGATAGAAATTTGCTTACTATTGCATGGGAATTGGTTACTCCAGAAACGATTCGTAATTGTTTTCGCCATGCTGGTTTAGTGAAAAATATAACTGAAATAGTCAACGATTTTAATCCAGTAGATGTGATTTACTGAAAATTAGTAGTTTACTGAATATAGACAAATTAATGAGTATAATGTTGACAATAATTTAATAACAACACAGGAATTGTCGGTTTACTTATTTCATATGGTACTGTGTCTGCGAAAAACCGTGAAAAGCAAAACAACTTAAATAAAACAAAATAATATCAGTTTATTTCTTTTATAGAAAAATATGTATTTTAAAAAACAATGAATCTATTCTCCAACAAAATGTTTGCTTAGTGTTACAAATGTTGAGCACATTTCAAAAAGGTCCTTTCCGCTTTTTTTTAACGGATCAAGTTACTAAGCTGAAATGGCGGATTTAGGATTTCGTCTAGGGGAGAACGCTGACGATAATTGCGGCTGGTAATTTTTCAACCTCATTGAAATTTATCCAATCATTGCTCCTTAAATCCATTGTGATCTGTCTGGATAATGCTAGCTTGAAAAAAAAACAGAAATCCTCAGAAAGTCAATAGTTTATTATATAAGAACAAAATAAGTACGTGGCATTTATAATTAACAACGTCTTTGATGGCGAAAACTAACATGAGACCGAAAAAATTCACATTGGTATGGACGCTAGACGAGACAAATAAGCATGTCTATAGACCATCTATAGATCGTGTCTTGAGACCGTCTCCAGACTGTCTACTCACAAATTGCGTAACGGGGACTACTGGTGGGTAGTTAGCTTAAGGTTTAAGACTCTGAAGTGCCCACTAAACAAATCAAGTAATTGGTGCAAATACTGACACAATCTACTTCTATTATATCAGCAGGAGATAAAAATATCAATAGGTATAGTCAATTATCTTTTGAAATTCAATATAGATGTTACAGTTATTCTTCAGACTTTCGTTGTCGAACTTGGATTTACGGCATAGTTGTTGTTTTCTTAGTTTTCGAATCGGTATTGATCGTATGCAAAAATGCTGCAAATCTTTGGGAAAAAACTATATATGTTAGATTGTAAATATCTTGATTTAAACGAATTCAATATAGCAACATAAATAGACACATACGCGGAAAGAGATGCGGGACATGTGGTACTGGCTTTGAGCATCGATCGACGCGTTTTCTGGACAGGCAACAGGCGCATCGCTAAACAAATCTCATAAATGTCTATTTCCAATTTAGGCGTTCATCTAACGTAGAAGTTCGCTGCTACACCATCCCCGAACAAAATCAGTCAAGCTTTACACACTTTTCAAATTACTATTGAGGGAGTAGAAATTGTGAGAGAAAGTGGCAAGTGGCCATGAAATGCGATTTCTCTTAGAACCGACCAAGACAAACTGGGAAAACTAGTAGAAAATAGCGCGATATAACCTAAAAATTGACGTGTTTGGCACTGTTGTTGTCGTTCCTACTAATCATATTACAAAAAATGGTTAATTTCAATCAATTGATGTATTGGAACGAGGAGGAAATCTTGACCAAAATCTTTGGTTAGTTTTGGACTGTCAAAATTTTCTCCATTTTCGTTTACTTAAATCTGGCAACCCTGTGTCTTGATTTCCTTTCTCATTTCTATAGAGTCCTTTCAAGAATTCAGTATTTTCGAATCGATAGAAAACCGGGGGAGTAGAAAAAGAGATGGAGTGTGAGTTTCTATTAAAGTCAAGAATAGGGCCACAGTATAGCTAATATAGATGTATTACTCAGACTTGGATTTGTCACAAGTCACAATACTCGTATATACCTATAAATCGTAAGAATTATGCTGTAAACGTAAGTGATGTCAAAGAGGGACAGCGTTTGCGTTTGGAGTACCAAAGGATACCACAAAATCGCAGTGCTCAGTTCCTATAGCTATAACTGATAGTTAGTATGCCTCTGTCGCCATGATGTTCCAGAATCAGATCAGACGTCTAGGGGAGCGAATCGATGGCAGATATTTGCCTAAAGTTTGCCATTTGTTACACTACTACAACGAACAAAAGTGTATACTCGATGAAACTTTTGCTTAAGATTCTCACAGGTTACTGCATATTAAACAGAGACCTATGAATCAGACTGGTTTTGATATTTGTGAATACCATTTGATGGTCTGACAGATTCGATGTCAAGTTTTAATGTTGTAGTCATGTTGATGTCCAGAATCAGTAGAGATGAGCAAAAGTGGCTTATTTACCCGGCTTCAGTTCCTCGCGGTAATACTACTAGGATTGTTGATAGGTGACAGAAAAAACAAACACAGTCGAACCTCTATAACTCGAACCTCTCTTTAACTCGACCTTTTTTAGTGGTCCCTGTACACTTTCCAAGATTTCCATTATTTTAACCTCTATAACTCGAACACCTCTATAACTGGAATCCAAGCTACGTCCTGTCAAAGTAAAAATCTCTATAAGACGAACTTTCAAAGAATGCGATTAAGGTTGAGCCTTGACGTCTTATCGTATGTTGGGGGCACGGCCCACTTTGAAATAGATTCGACGAATTTCATCGAGTGTAAGCGGCGATTGTGTGATATTATGGGATTCCCCTAAGCAAGTGTAAAATACCGAGGATAAAATTTCAAGGTAAAAAGCGTTTTTGGTTGGAAAGATGTTGCCGCCACGAAGACTTAAGACCTTAACAATCGGGAAGAACATTGAAATTTTAAGAAAAGTGGAGAATGGTGTTTAACGAAAGATTATTTGCCAAGAATATGGCATTCCAAAAAGTTCGTTATCCACTATAATCAAAAACAAAAAGACTGTAGTGCAATTTGGTTCCTAAGTAGCTAACCCATGTGAAGTGAAGCGAAACAAGCCTTCGAAGACAGTAAACACTACATTAATGAAGGGCCGTATCGTCAGTCGTTCCTACAATTGTAGGAAGCCTTTATGGCCTCCTTGATTGTCATACTCCTTTCTCTCCTTCAAAAATTTCTAGATTGCACCTGTTCTGTGTCAGCGTCAGCGCTCTCCTATTGTGAAGATATATTTTCTTTTTAAATTGTAGGAAATTTCAGGCTGATAAAACATGATATAACTCAAAAGCATGCACAATTTGATGCAAATAGATATTTGTGACATAACCTCAAAATAGAACGCTGACACGGAAAAGTAGAAAACTATGACAATCAAGGAGCCCATAAAGGCGTCCTACAATTGTAGGAACGACTGATGATATGGGCCTAAGTGACTTGAAACTTCAAGAAGAGCAAATTTGCCCATCTCAGGGCCTATTTTGCAACAAAAGGCATTGGATTTTTCCAAAATAATGGGAGATGAAAATTTTAAAGCAAGTTCGGGATGGCTGGAAAAATTTGAAAAGAGGTAACATAATTTTGTGTCTTTTTTATTATGTTTTTGTTTACATGTTATTTTTTTTTTAACTTTATTACAAAAAAAGAATGTGGTAAAAGTGCTGCCGTGGAACAAAAAAAAATGTGATAACTGGATCAAAGATACCTTTCCGGCTCTTTTAGCCCCCTACAAAACAGACCATACTTTCAACTGACAAACTAAAACTTGTCTTAATAGGAAAAAGCGCAAAACCACGATGCTTTCGTGGAGTTAAAAATTTACCGCTGACTTAATACAACAATAAAAAGGCATGGATGACGAGTGACATTTTTTTCAAAGTGGCTGTTGGACCTGAACAAACAGTTTCTACTTCAAAACCGTACGGTTTTGTTTCTGTTTGACAACTGTCCTACACATCCTTGCATTGATCATTGATTAAAGGCAATACAGTTGATTTTATTTACACCAAATATGACATCCAAGCTGCCGCCTGTAGAACAGGGCATTAAAAAAAGTTTTAAATTTCATTATAAACGTAGAGTCATGGAAAAAAATACTAGACGGATTTGAAACCAATTCCATACTCCCTAAAATTGGTCTCTTGGATTGCATTCATATTTCAGCAAAAGTATGGGAGGTTGATGTAACCCAAGCGACTATTCAAAACTGCTTCAGAAAAGCTGGGTTTGGAACGCTATTATGACTTATAAGATGAAAAGCCTCTGTCAGAATTAAGAAAAATAATTATCAGCAAGTAACCCTAAATGTCCAAGAGTCCATTGAGAGAAACTTAGAAATTTTGAATGCTAATGATAAGGTCTCTTTGGATGAATTTGTAAATGTAGACGGTGATCTAATATCAAGTGAAATTCCCACAGAAGACGAAATATTGGAAAGTGTAAGCAAAAAACAGGATGACTTGGAGGATGAATTGGAGAACAGATCTGATGATGAATATGACAGTGAAGGAACTCCAATAGAGAAACCTTCTGACGCTGAAGTTTTAAAGGCAATTAAGGCCATCCAGCTTGCCTTTTCAATGAATGAGGCTGAAACTAATGACGACTTTACTTTAATCTCCCAAATTAGACAGAAATATGAATCTTACCGCCCAAAAAAAACTGATTATTTTTAAAGTTCTTTTAGTACATATATTTCAAGTTAGTAGAGACTTTTTTCTTAGTTTAACGCTTTTTACTATGTAGTTTAGTTTTTTAGTACATATGTTATTATGTATGCATGTACAATAATAAAAAATAGGTTTTGGAATATGTATATACATATGTATGTAGGTACATACATACAATGTGGTTTTTCTCTAACTGGAACTCTCTATAATGCGAACTTTTTTGGCTGTCCCTTCAAGTTCGAGTTATAGAGGAGGTTCAACTGTAGTTTAAAAATGGACCACAAGATGATGCCTAATTGTTAATATCCTTCAGAGAAATGTTGCATACCTATCTTCTCAAATCGTCTACTCCTCATTGTTATCAAACAACAATTCACCAGGTGAATGAATAACGCTCCCCACCGCATCAGTGCAATTTCCTAACCACAAAGCCGCGCAATCATTTAATAGTAGTACCACATAGTAAACATCAACTAAATTGCTGGTGAGTAATCGTACCATCAGCAGTACAAACAACTGAACGTCGAAAATGACTAAGCTGGGTATCGGTAGGCAGTGCCTGCACTGCTCCGCTGAGTGTTCCACAATGCCCGTTCTCGTTAACAGCGTTTTAAACGCTGCGGAGCGCTTTTTATTAACTTCAATTAAAACTAATTCCCTGCCATCCTGTGCCCGCGTCAGGGGCCAAAAGGCCTATAGATCATAAGCCCAATGAGCTTCAAACAGTCACATCGCTCGAAAGGACTTTTCTTGTTTTCGCGCCTTTGTTATTGTTTTCTTAACTCAAGACACTAGTGTTCGGTGAAATTAATCGTGTTTTTTTGTGATATACCTAGTGATACATAAAACTTCGACAGAAACCATGGATAATATTGATACTGTTCGCAGATCACAGTTTTCGGAACTAGTCAGGTGTGTATATACTATTTATATGTTTATGTTTTGAGTCACAATAAATCCAACAGTGGCTTTACAACTTCTGTATCACGATAAATCACCTATTTCTGTTAATGTTTCAATCGGTTATATACAGTTTAAGTACCTTTTGTCACTGTGTAATCTTAGGAACCACCGAAGCTATTCTAATGAGTATTGGGTCCTCCCAAAAATGGTAGCAGATAAATAAGCTATACCCATGCTGTGCTCATGTCAAAAGGTCCATACATCTTGAGCCTAATAAACATCAACCACATCGCTCGTCGACTGTCAAACAAGGGATTTTCTTATTTTCGCGCCTTTGTTGTTAGTCTATTGAATGTGACAATGTTTAGTACTAAGTACCGCTTATACAGGGCGATTCGAATTCGACCCTCACCATTAGGATCTCGGAAACTGTAGGAGAGACGCTTAAACGAGGGCAAGGATGCATATTTAGGTAATCAACAAAATGCCGCTTCGAAAGTTTAATTCAAACTACTTCCGGAGAGAGGCGGAAAAAACTAAATTTTCTCAAAATCTTTTTGATTGTAGTGTCTTGAAATAAATTGCACATTAATTGCCACTTTTTCTCCTGTACAAGATGGAATAATTAGAATTTCAATATGATGTTTCTCCTCTTGACCTCCAGCATCAACTTTATTTTTTCTTATTATGGATCACACATATAAATAGAGGCATTGCCAAGCCTTCGTTATTTCAGTAAAAGCAGAGTAGGCCATAAAATTATCAGATAGTCATTTGTTCCGCATAAGAGATTTATCCCAAAGATGCTGGCTTTATTTGTGATGGGGCTTTGAAATAAATTGTATGTTGTCATTGTTACTTACTATCCTCTTCAAGATGGTGTAGTTAAATTTTCAATTCTGCTGTCGACTTTTTTCATATGGATGCTTTATTGGAATTTTGTACTTTTCAGTCCTCCATTCAGTGATGGCCATGAATTTGTTGTTGGATGAAAATTATAAGTAGATGGTAATAACAATAATAATCATAAATAAGGAGAGATAAATCATAGCAGATGTTTAAAATGCTGGCCGTTACTTTGCGGGCCAGGCCTGACTCTTCTCTATATATTGTTCACTGTTCGATTTATTTCTCTTCTTCTTAGTCTTCCAAACTCTGTTGCTAAGTTCAATTTGAAATCTGGTCTGGTATACGAAACAAATGCTGATAATTTCAAGGCCTACTTAGGAACCTCTGTTTTTCTGGAATAACTAAGGTTTGGCAATGCCAGCGGATGACATATTATACATTTTTGGAATCAGAATTAAAAACTACATTCATCTGTGTAAAATCCAATATGGCGTCCATAAAAAATAATAAAGTTGATACTGGAGGACGAGAGACGAATAGTCCAATTACGCAGTCTTATAGAGGAGAGAAAGTGACAATGTAAATGTGCAATTTATTTTGAGTCACAAAAAATCAAAAACGATTTTGGGAAAATTCTGTTTTTTTCATCTCTCTCCGGAAGTACTTTGAATTTCGAAAGTTTCTAATTGGCATTTTGTTGATTACCTTAATACGCAACTTTGCCTCCATTAAGCAACATCGTATCTCATACAGTTTATTCCACCACTTCCTCATTTATTTTTTTACTAATCAGTGATCCTAAATAATAATAATAAACGTCTTTATTAAATGATATATACATGTGTATATATAGGTGTATATATAAAAAGTGTAACTATAGTGGCAAAGTTTAGCAATATGCTACTCTAACACTTAACCACTAAAGTATAATATTACGTTGTTAACAGTTAACTCGGACAAAACGCAGAATATATATAACAAATCACTTATAACCCATATGAGAAGTGAAAAACGAGAAAAAGATCTATGAAATATTGAGGAAAAAGTTAATCGTTCAAATAACTCAACTTAACATTGTAGCACAAATACACAAACTCGTCCATCTCCTCAAAAAACTTTTTTCATGTGCTTACATGGCCTGACAGTTCGATGTTTTCATAAATTTTCTTTTTTTCATTTTCGTTTACCTCCAATTCCAATTCTACATTTTGCGCCAACTTATGTAAACTGTTTACCTTGTCCTTTTATCGACATACGCAGTTAGTTGATGACTTTTAAATAATATGCTTCCTTATCTATTTAGCTGACTCACAATAACAATTCTTTCTAGGGTCATACTAAATAAAAGGGTAGATAATGGGACACCCTCTCTCAGTCTTGTATTAATCTCAAACTCGTCTGTTAATTCTCCTCTTATTTTGACCATAACTCTTGTTTGTCTCATTGTCGTTCTTGTGAGGTTTATGAGCTTCCAAATAATTCATTGTATGAAAGATTTTACTCCTTCTGATCGTGTCATAGGATTTTTGGAACTCAACAAATAGTATATAGTAGATAGCTGCAAATATAAAATACCAGAAATTATACTATCTATAAGTAGGGTATGGTGGAAGTAAAAACTGCAATATTTTATTACTACTACATATCTACACTTGAAATTATCTTTACTTACTGAACTATTCTTTATCGCACTGACTACTGAAAGCTACTGTGAGATAACAATATCAAATATAAAGTTATATGTAATCTTGGCAGTCAATTGCTAAGCATTTGATAGGGGATTTATAAATGTTCTATTGTAAATAGAGTTTGTAGATCTATCACGAAAAACCGCCGATTTTTGGTCAATCTGTCTCATGATAACGCCTACGAAATCGATGGATCGGACACAGTTAACCAACAACAAAGAAAATGTATTCCATTCCAGAGTCGCATTAGGAGACGTTCCCGTGAAACTACGTAGACGGTATTTATGATTGCTAGAGCTCTCTAACACTTCCAAACTCAGTCTTGGTGTGTTTATTTCTCAATTTTTTCCCGTTATTCGCAACAAAAAATTAGTTGCGATATGTATTAAATGATACAGAATGCAACACTGACTAGGTGTGCAGTAATTTGGAGCAAATTCTGGGCATGATAATGCAATGAAACAGCAATGAAACAAATGGAACCAAAACAGAAAAATCACTGAATATTAAGCAAACGTATTCATATTATTTGGATCCTGATATGACAAAAAAGCCTTTACAAAAAAGTACGACTCGCAATGCTTTCAACATTTTATCAACCTATACTTCCATGATAGCAAATATGTTTCAAAGTTTCTTATCAAAATTCAATAAATAATTCTGAGTGTTACATTTTATATGTCACTTAGTATATTTGTTAGCAATACTAGCAGAATCTCTCTGAAATTATTTCTCGAATCTATTAATCAGATATTCCATTAATATCCAAAAGCATAGCACCACTCGACTCACACATAAGATCGCCCCATAAATTAAACCAGCATCGACAAAAATCGAAAGATCCACCAACACACAAATCTGTTCTATTGGTTTTCGTTAAAGTGGCGTTATGTAAGGTTTAGAGTTTGAAGCTACGTATATTAACAAAAAATGCTCATTCTGTGCATGAATAGAATTGTTCAAAATCCTTGTTGAATCGCAGTGCTTAAATGTTCAATTGAGTCTGGTGATTATTCTAATTAGTGTGCGTCAGACCATATATGTAGATTTGTTTCCTCTGATTTTACAATCACCGCACTTATTGTTAACTATAATGACACTACACCCCTTAGTTTCAACGGTTAAAAGGTAATCATGGTATTTACCATGTCTTATACAAGGTGTTTCAGTTTATTGTTGCATAGCTTTAAGATTCGATAGAACTTTTAAAATTAATGCATAAAGTCTATATAAACCTGGGTCGAAAAATGCGTGGCTTCCGAAGTTTACTTTTTAAAATAGTTTTTTTTAATATTTCGAACAATATTTGATGTATAACAGTGAAAATTGGTATACAAGGGTTTTCTGGTACGACAAAACGAACCATGGGAATAGTTTTACTGTAGCCGCTAGAGGGCGCTCTCTACTGTACCTGTAGTGTATTAAAATGACCGAAAATTTTTTCTTAGTGCAATTTTTTGCTTTTTGAATAAAAAAATGATTCTTCGCACTTTTCAACATAAAAAAGCTCTCTTGTGATTTTTCGTTGTAGTTAGCCGTTTTTGAGATATTTCGATTTTTAAGGTTCGATGCAATTTTAATTATTTATGGGAAAATAATATTTTTTTTACATTTTTGATTTGGGCATTACAAGTAATTAAGATGATCGTTTAGATTGTGTTTTTAAACACAGCAATAATTCCTAACTCCAAATAAACACAAAAAACAGAATATACACAATTCACATCTACGACTGATCGAACGTGGTATAGCATTATTCAAATAAGGCCTTATTTCATCACATGCATTCCTGATTCTGTCTATTAGCATATCTCTTGTGGTTACGGGAATCTGGTACACTTTTCCTTTTAGAAATCCTCACACAAAGAAATCTAATGGATTTAGGTCAGGGGATCGTGCAGGCCAGGCGACTGGTCCTCCACGGCCGATCCATCTTTCTGGATAATTTTCGTCCAGCCAGTTTCTAACTATTCTCGAATAAAGAGCTGGACAACTATCAAGCTGGAACCAGGCCAATCTTCTTAAATCTAACATAACATAATCTCACATATTTGCATGTTCAGCCTTTAAAAATTCCAAGAAGGTCGCAGCATTTAACCTTGCAGGAAAAAAGGTAGGGTCCAAATAATCGATTAGGGTAGATACCAATCCACACGTTCACACTAAATTCATGCTGAAAATTTCTTTCCCGAACTGCATGCGGATTTTTATGCGACCAAATATGTTGATTATGAAAATTTACCACTCCACGTCTAGTGAAGCATGACTCATCGGTCCATAAAACGTTACTTAAAAACTCCCTATTATTATCAGTTCTATCAAAAATCCACTGACAAAATGTGATTATTCGTTCTCCGTCCCCTGGCTATAGTCCTTGCACAGGTTGCAAATGGTAAGGACGTCTATGGTCATTTCTAAGAACACGGTGAACATGGCTTGCTGAAATTCCCAAGGTACCAGAAACTCTCCTAA